GAGCTGAGGAGGTATACTCCTCTTTAGTAATCTCTCCCTGTTTCCACTGCTTATATGCCCCCCTTTTTGCCCTTAGGCTGCTCTGGATTTCTCTGGTCAGCCAAGGAAGCCTCTTGGCCCCTTTCCCCCGCATCGGGATCGTCTCCCTCTGTGCCTGAAGGATCGCTTCCTTAAGGCACAGCCACCCTTCCTGGCCACCAAATCTCTTACTCTGCAGTGCATCATTGACTAAACGCCTGAGCTCGCTGAAGTCAGCCTTCCTAAAGTCTAGCACTTCCACCCTACTAGTTACCTTTCCCACTCTGAACCTTATGGTGAATTCTATTATTTGGTGGTCATTGTCCCCCAGGTGACCACTGATCTGTAGGTCCCCTACCATGTCCTCCCCCGTTGCCAATACCAGGTCCAGGAAGACATTCCCCGTAGTGAGACCATGTACCTCCTGCGTCAGGTGGAGGTCCTGTACACAGGATAGGAACCTGCGTGAACAGTGGGAATTTGCTGTCTGCATCTCCCAGCAGATGTCAGGGTAGTTTAGGTCCCCCATGACTACCGCTTCTCTAGTCTTTATGGTCTCCGAGAGCTGCCTCAGGAGTTAGAAATCTAGTTCTTCCCCTTGGTGTGGGGGTCTGTATAACGTTGCTTGACATAAAGCGCAACCCCTCCCCCTCTCTTCTCCACTCTATCCTTTCTGTACAGCTTATAGCCCTCAATGTGTACCGCCCAGGGCATAGTGCGCCACAAAATTTTAAGAGAATTTCTTAAATCTCAATCTATGTAATACTAATATTTCAGTAGCTTGTTGAGCCTGATCAACTATATGGGCAGTATCAAAACTCTAAAAATCAAAAGTCCAATTGCCTTGGTAGTGACTTTTAGTTTTACTTTATAGCTACACAGGAGGCACCCCAAGAAGGCAGTCACTAGTATCCCTGAAACATGTACACAGATGATGTCACTATAGTAGCACAAGGAATGGACAAGACAGAACTAGGAAAGATACTGAGTACAAACATGGAACTCATTGCGCATTATGCCTGAACATTAATAAATCAGTATCAGAGGGGTGGGGCCAGCTCTGCTCTCTGGAGCAGACAGCATAGCCCAGACCACGGCCAAGCGGAAGGAGCACAGCGTCAGCTCAGCTGTTGGCTGCATCCTCCCACTCGGCTGAGGGGTTTCCACCCTGGCGTGGCTCCTAGCAGAGGAAGCTTAGCCCTCAAGTGGACGCCTCAGGCACAGTCCTGCATGGCAAATCTGTCTGCCACATGCCCCTGAGCTGGGAAATCCCCCGTGGGTCCTTGTCAAGTGACAGCTGCCAAAGCCTGGGGGATGGGCAGGTGGGTCAGAGGTGCCACCTGGGGTCCCAGGTGCCCCTAGGCTGGAGCTACTACCTGGGTGTGGTACGGCTGTCCTAGCAAACAGGAATCCCTGTGCTAGGAGGAGGGAGAGGGACCACCTGGTTATATGCAGCCTGCCCTTGCAGCACCTGATAGCAGCCCTGATTCTGCGCTCACTCCTATTTAAGCCCTGCCAATTCCACCACACAGCTTTGCCCGGTTCCACTCCCCCAGATAACTGCTAGTTACCTCCCTGCTATAGCAGCTGTGTGATGCTGCAGCCTAGATCCACCCCACCTCCTGCACAGCCCCTGCCAGAGCAACTCCCCAGACAGTGGGCAGCACCAAGTGGGGACCCCACCAAACCTTGCCATCCTGTTCTGCTGATGCTAGCATCGCTGCCTGCTCACTCCCACACATTTACCATGTGGAGCCTACTGTGCCAATGGGCTTCAGTCATGGATGGTGTTGGAACTCACCACAATCCTGCATATCATCCTTGGCACCAGCAACTTGTGCCGCCCTGCTCCTCTGCCACAGACCATTTAACTAATATAGTTAAAGTAAGTTAAACAGGTAATTTTTTTAATGAGATTCACATCCCTACTTAGAACCACTGCACTCACAATAGTATATGCCCCAGCAGAATATTGTGCTCCTGTATGGTCTAGAAGCTGTCACACTAAAAATCTCAACACTACTTAACAGTGCAATGAGACTCATAACAGGCTGAAAAACTTGCACACAGAGGTACTCCCTGTATTCTCATGCATTAGATGAAGTGATATAAGAAGACAGACCCTAACATCAACACTGGCAACAGAGGCAAGAGAGGACAACAATCACCTGTTCCATCAACTGTTAACTGAAGACCTGAATAGATGGAGGCTTAAAAGTTGTAAACCATTTATACATGAAGCCCACAAGCCTTGGAAGAGCCTGGGGGTGCTGAACAGTGGCAGGTCCACGGGGAACATGTGCACCCCCTGACAGTCAATGTTCCCCACTTAGGCAACGGGCAGGCGGGGCAGGTAAGAGCGCTAGTGCCCCCCCTGAGAGAGCTGGCTGGGGAGTAGGGACGCCAGGAGAAGCAATCCCTGCAGTCCCCCCCAAAGTTAATCACACCGACTGGGGAGGAGGAGGTTCCCTCATGGTCAACTGCACTGTCCCAAAAGTGCCAGCAGTGTGCCCGGAAATGCCAGGTCGATGCGATCGGCTGCGGGGGAACCCCCCACCCCAATCAGCAATATCGGCCACTGGGCCCCTCCTCCTCCCAGTCACTGACTGGCCACTGGGGGGGCAAGTACCGCGTTCCCCCCCGACTCAGAAGGCACCAGTTGCCCTTGGTGCTGAATCAAACCTATGGGCAACAATGGAGTAGGCCAACTTCTGGCCTATTCCTATAATATTTTATACCAGTACCAAACAAGCCCTCCACTGGGCACGACCCTGACAGAAAAGTGAGGGTTAAGCTGAACAGACTGAGATCTGAATACGGACACTTCAAAACAACACTTTACCAAATTAACACCTTGGACAGCCCCCTGTGCGAATGTAGTGTCCAACAAACAACACAGCATTTCACTGAAATCTATAATCTTTACCAATGCCCACACAGGGCAGATAAAATGCACACATTAAGCAATAACAACAGATAGTGGCTCAGATTTGTAAGCTGATATCTGATGCCATACATAAAAAGAAGCTCTATGGACCAAGGGTCAGATTCTGTTCCACCTATTAGGCATACAAATGGATTTATGTACTGAAGTGTAATTCTATTCCACTCTAATATCATGAAAATCCATTAATACTCTAACTTTGTGGCAACGTCATCTTACTATTAAGACACAAAACAAGAAATGAGGAAAAGGAGAACCTACTCACCTTTTCCATTATCTTTTCTACATGTCTAATGGGAAGTGGTTCTCACTCCTTCCCTGAGGATCTTCAAAAGGAGGCTGGATAATCACCTAGCCAGGGTCGTTTGACCCCAGCATTCTTTCCTGCCTGTGGCAGGGGGTCGGACTTGATGATCTACTCAGGTCCCTTCTGACCCTATCAGCTATGAAACTATGAATAGAACCTGGTCCCAAATGCTGCTACACACAATGCTCTTGTAATAATTTCTCAGTTGCCACAGAAAATTGAACAAAATTGACTTCCACTTACCATCTCTCGCTTCCATATCATAGGGTAAAAAATTACCAAAAATATGATCCTACCCATGGGTCACACATTTTTAGTGGCATCCAAATTTCAGCACAGTTGATAACAGTCAAAAAAGTCATGTAAAAAAAGTCAAAAACCCCATAATTTATGTTCAAGAAAACACATTTTAATTTTCAATTTCTGTGAAAAAATTCTAAACAAAATATTTAAATCCTGATTTAAATTAGGTAGGTGGTCTTTCCAAGTACAACAATATTATATTAAATTGATACTGGATACGTTACCCTCATAAATGCTGGATGAAGTTTGCAGGTAACATTGTTGTTGTAAACCTTTGCACTTCCAGAGGTCGTAGCTGATGTTCCATTAGAAGAAAAGTAAAACCTTGCCTGAGTGTCTGCCTTTCTTGTCACGTCTACACTTAGATTATAAAACAATACTGAAAGATTAAAAAGAACAAAGGATATTTTGTAAAAACCCTTCTTGAAACATTTTTACTTTCCCTAATTTGTTAGAGTTATACCGTATCACTTATATCAAGTATATTCCACAATGTTTGCCTCACAATGCCTTACTTGCAAAATGGGTTTTCAAAACTTTGGAATATAACAAAGCTGCCAGGATAAAAGGAAAAAACGGAAAAACATGCTCACTATTTCTCTGAGAATACTTGTGCTTTAACCAGGGTTACCATATGTCCATACCATATGTTTTCCCAGACATGTTCTCTTTTTTGGCCCCTGGTACTACATCTGGGCGGGTTTTTAAAATAAGAGCAAATGTCTGGGTTTTCTGCTTTTCTGGGCTGGCTGCTTGGGGCTGGGAGCAACGAACAAGCTGATTGGCTGTCAGGGGTCATGTGCTCCCCATGTGGGCTTCGGGAAGCCAGAAAGAGGGAAAGGGAGAGAGCACGAGTGTGAGTGGGCGCGTGTACAACGTGAGGACTGCTTGGGCAGCAGGGTTGTGGGGAGGCAGGTGTCTGTGGGTCAGGACTGAGGGGCACTAGCAGGGCAAGGGGCTGTGGGTCGGGAGTGAGGGGTACCAGCAGGGCTGGGAGGGAGGCAGGGGGCTGCAGGTCTTGAGTAAGGGGCACAGGGGACAGGGTGGGTGACTGTGGGTTGGGTGTGCAGGACACTGGCAGTGCCAGGGTACTGCTGTTTGGGAGTGAGGGGCACTGGCAGGGCTGAGGTCTGTGGGTCCAGGTTTAGCAATTCAAAATTTTACCTCTGCCTCGATCACGTTTGTACTTCAAGTATTTTAAGACAACTAGTACTGCTATATCATTTAACTTATCTTGTCCAATTTAGGATTTACTAAGTTATTTAGTACCCCAAAGAAGTGTGATGGGTAAGTAGCCATAGGTAATTATCAGGGATCCTGATTTTCTCTGATTTAAAAAAATCCACAATTTTCAGTTTAAAAATAAAAGTAAGCCCAAATCCACATTTTTCCCATGATTAAAATAAAACACCACTAATATATATATATATTAGTGGTGTTTCATTTAAATCACAGAAATATGTGGATTTGGGGTTACTTTTTATTAACCGAAAATTGAAGATTTTTTCAAATCAGGAAAAAACAGGATTTCTGGTAATTATACATCAGGAAAAGTTTGTATTGGCATTAAAGTTAAGAAGACTTTCTACTTTTCCAAATAATTTAATTTTCCCAAATACACTCAAGTTCTTTGAACAGAGGAATAAAACAAAATTTAAACATTTTAGAATACCCTGTGTTGAAGATAGGTTGTTCTCATTCCGTTAGCCTTTTGTTCCCCTGCATGTGACTAGTTAAAAACTAACATTAATGTGTTAGAGAGCACCTGGGCCAATTCTTTAACATTCTCTGGTTCACACTGGATGTATCCACATGTGCCATTAAAGTGACATGATAAATTCAGGCACAGTTTGTGCCTGAGTCAGCTGCTCCCGAGTACAGATGCTGTGCCTGGGACTGCAGCAGTCTGAGCCAAGGTGGAGCAGCCCTGGGCTGGTAGGTGCCCAGGAGGTAAGCCCCAGGCTTTGGGCGGAAGCATCAATTGGCAGAGGGGCTGGCTGGGGCACAAGGGTGCCAAATGCAGGACAAGGTGGCAGGCAGCCCACCTGCACTTTAGCACCCTCATGCTCCAGGCAACCCCTATCACTGTCTACATGTGTGTTTCAGTGCACGTAATTGCTCTGCCAGGGGATAGTTCTATACCCAATGCTACTATCCTATGGTAGAGTTAATTAATTTACTACACCCTAAAACCAGCACACATGTAGATGGTGATGCTTTACTGTGGAGCTAATCAGTCAACTCTACAGTCAAGTGCATGTGTAGATGCACCCACTGTCTAGTTCCTAGGGCTTAGATGCTTAACACTTGTTTTTTAAAATCCTCCTAATTTCCTGATAGAGCAAAAGGTATTTTATCATCATGGTAAGATTATGAACACATCCTTTCACAGGTTTCCAAATGCAGAACATAAATATGATAAAAGCCTCTTACCATTCATTTCAAATATTATTCCATGCTAAAAATGCATTTACTCTTTCTAGAGGAATTCTCATTCATTATAGTCTAACTTTGCAAGAGGTCTTTTTTTCCATTTCTACTGATACCCCTTTCATATTGTCCAGCGAAATGGCTGTGTAAAAAGCTTTGAAGGTTAAATACATTGTTAGGCATTTTACCTAGATTATCAGTAAGTTAACTACTGTTTTCATTTAGTTTTGCATATAATAAAATATACTTTGTGAATAATCAAGTATTCTGCAGCACTAGAACAAATCCAGGCATGCAATCAACATTTTAGAAAATATATTGAAATATGTAACAAATACCTTACCAATATAGCCAGGTACCTCTCGTCCTTTATATGTAAAACAGACCATCAAATTCATACACACAGCAGGTTGGCCATTTTCCACACACTCTAAATTAGTTCGATTTACTGTATCGGGGTGTTTTAAAGATGCTTCAACAATTACAACTGGTTTTGTTCTAAGAATACAAAAGAATTTGAAGTTACTAAATGCTTTCACTTTCATGTATTGATGTATTAATACTTCAATATTTCAGCATACATGAGTTATCATTTGTGAATATAATTTAAAGTAGCCTCTGAATTTTATGCAATAAAAATGAAAGTAGGGATTTATGAGGCAAATTTCAGTTTTACTGCTTCAAGAAGTTTCAGAATGATATTTACCTTTTGCTCTACCTTATATATATCAGTGTAATATAACATTCTAGAGCTCAGTAACCAAAGTTCAAAATACCATAAAGAGCACTGTGAGGTCACTAGCACATTGTGGATTTTTTTAATTGCATCTCATAATTTACAATTAAATCCAATTGTTTTTAAGCACTGAAATGTATCAGCCTCACCTCAGCAGCACCGCAGAATCAGAGAGAAAGGCACCAACTGCTACATCTGTACGAAAACAGAGATGAATGAGTATCATTAGTTAGAGGGAATCACTCCACAAGCAGAGCACCTTCCTGAAAATTCAACCTTTTTACTGTAATAAAACCCTTTTTGTACATTATTAAGTAAAAAGGATATACCGAGATATATACTGCTGATATTTTTGTACAAACTCTTTAACTTTCTGATTTCTATCTATTAAAGCTTCAGTATTGATGTACAGGCAGTCCTCGGACTTATGACACAACTGGTTCCTGAAAACGGCGTCTTAAGTCGAAACGTTGTAACTCAGAACCAATTTTCCCATAGCAAACAATGTTATAAACGGGGGATTGGTTCCTGAACCAAGGCCCAATACCCTGTTTTCAACAAAAATAACCCAATTTTGTACTCAATCAATTATAGATGAGTAATATAGCTACATTAATGTATTTATATTGTAAATAGTAATCATATTGATTTGGAAGGACTTCTTTGAAGTGACTTTGCTGGACTTTTTGAAGGGCTCTTGGCTGGATTCTTCTCATGAGTCTTGGCTGCAGGTTCTTCTGGAGCCTTGTCTGCTTTCTTAAAGAAAGTGTCCAAGGAAGTTTAGACAGATGTTCTCCAGGGAGATGGGTGACACAGCGACTTATTTGCTGGTATGGCGTCACATCAAATCAAGCATTGTAAAGTTGAAACTGACATCAGAAAATTGAAACGGTATCAATTTAGAAATGTTGTAAGTGCAAAAAGTTGTAATTCAAAATGTTGCAAGTCGAGAACTGCCTGTATCTGCAGTTGCAACCGCAATAGTTAAGGCTGCAATTCAATTTCATTAGCCAAATAATTAACTGAAGCCAAAATACAATTCAGCAGAATTTGTGATGTTTATGTTTTCATTTTAAACTCAGAAATATATTTGATGTTATTCTCAGATCAAAATAAAACTGGGCATGTGAAAGGGGTAATGGGCAAGGGCAATCCACAGGTGGGCTTTAATCAAAGGTAAAAATTGCAAACTGAGTTAGAGCCTCCTGTATGCATTACAGATATTGCACAATTAACTGGAGATCAGCTACCCATGCAAAGTAGCTATCATACAATAAAAAGCTCTAACTAGCCATAAAATTAGACCTCAGAAATGTGTACTAACTTTATAGCTGGTTACTATCAAGCTTCAATTTGCACATATAGTAGGGTCTCCCCTGCAGCTGGGAACCCAATCAGCTGACAATCCCCCAGGTCTAGGAGTTTCACACACTCCTGAGCCCTAGGGATCATGGCAGCAGCAATTCCCAGGGTTTGGGGGTTTCAGGCACCCCCAAGTCCTAAAATTGTGGCAGCTGCAATTCCTAGGACTCCAAGGTGTGGGGAACTCCTGGGGCTACAGGATTGCTGCAGGGACAATCCTCTGGCCCTACAAGTTTTTTTGCACCCCCAGGGGTAGGGGAAATCATGACAGTGGAGATCCTCTAGCCCCAGGGGTGCATGGGGCACCCTTGAGGCTGGAAGCCTCTCAACTGAGGAGGGCTCCCAGCTGCAGGAGCTTGCTTATAGGTGCTGCAGGGGGGGACCCCGGATCAGGCTCCCACTGTGCCAACAATAAGGTGCAATGGGATCTAATACATGATCTTACAATCGTGCCTCCTGCCATGCATGTGTGACATGGCAGGAGGCACGATTGTCTGAATTGAGCATTAGATGCCATCACACCTTTACCTGCATGTGTAGAGGGGGCCTAAATGACTAAAGACCAGAAGTCTGAAAAGTTAAAAGAGGCACTGTTACCAGAAATATGCAAGGGTACTCTTTCTGAATGAAGCAAAGGGCACCAAAACACTAGAGTTTAAGACTTAAATATTCGCTTAAATAATTTATCTGACTCTTGCTATGTTTCTTTCTAGCCACATCATTTTGCTTTATGCAGTAAATCTTGTAGTTAGGATCCTCTAGTCTCTTGGGAGCAGTCCTTGATGACTCTTTTGCAAACCATGGCTGTGGCTGGACCAGAAAAAATAGATTTGAATTTGGACTACAACACAGAGTGCTGAAGAGACTGTTGTGTCTGACGACAGGCTCTCAGAATTGCTGAAATACGCAGGAGGCAGTAAATCCTATGCTGGACTTTTCCCTTTAGTCCTTTTGTACCTGTAGTTTACTACCTTTCCCAAAACTATTGGGACAAATACCCCATTTCATGAATCAATTGGGTCTTCATTCATTCATTTATTCATTCAATAATTTTGTAATTCACTATGCTAAATAATTTTTATATGAGAAACATTAGACTGCAACATCACTAGATGAACTGGTTGCCATTAAGGAGTCAGTGTCCGCAAACAGATATCAGTTAATTCTTTTATACTTTACTGCAAACTTAGTTTTAAGCCTTTCTGAGCTCTTCAACAGGATATTAATCTATCGCAGAAAAGCCACTGTCTTGCAGTCTTAACCTCTTTGCTTTTTTCTTATCAAAATGTAATGTGACAATCTGTCATAATAGCAGATTTTGCTCCTCAAATTTTGCTAGGAATACTGAGTATTATGGATGGTTTCTTCTCACTAGTGACATTTCATTTCATTTCTACTCCTTTAAACACAAAGAGTAGTCAAAATTGTTAAACTTACCTTGATAACCATTGTTATCAGCATCAATGCCACTTGATATGGAATGTCCAAACATGCTTAAAGTGTTGCTGATTCTGTGCCCTTGTATTCTCTGAAAAATAAAGAATTGACCTAAATGAGAATAATTCCACTTGGAAATGTGGTAACCAATGAGAAACTTTAGCTCAACCATACTGTATGCTAAACCAAAAACTTTCTTGATTTTGGTTAACCTATCTTTGAATTCAGGATTAGCTCTGTTTTTGCAAATAATATATCACATAAATCTTACTTAATTCACATAATTCATTTCTACTCTTTCTTCTATATTGAAATGAACATAAATATCTGCACTGCAACAACACAGTAATTTTAAATAAACTGTGGTCCTTTACATGAGGGACCTAAATTCCATTTCTTTGGGAGAAGTCACTAAGAAGATGATACCAAATAGATATACTTCCCAACCTTGTTTATTGAACACTACTGACAACTTGACTTTTATTGCTCTATGGAAGTGCTAGGAAAAACAACCTCCTGAAACACATAACTCTGGAGAAATGTGTACAAAACCCTCTTAAGGTTAGGCTAAAATAATAATGAAAAAAGACACTCATATACCATAACAAACCACAAACGTTCTGATACTCAAATGTTTTCAAACATATTTAGTTACCCTTTAGGCAAGAAAATAAAAGCACTACAGAATTACAGTAATCATTTTTATTTACTGGAATTTTTTAAAAGACTGTCAGAAAAGTGATACCTGTGAGAAGGATGCAGTTATCCCATCTTTTCTGCCATTGTATATGTAAATAGCTCCTTCCTGGTTGTCTTCCTGTGGAGCCCCAATAGCCACATCTACAGAAATATTTCAGGAGATGATAAAATTATCCTACTTGGCAAGTCAGGGTTAAACATGATTAAGAAATGCAGCTTACAGATATTTTAATATGAGAAGTAATATGCAATCAAGATACAGTTTTATAGTTTTCTCATTTTGAACTTGTTTATATTTCTCACTTTCGAGACTTACTGAACATATGTTTGTTTATATTTAATGCTCCATTTACAATGTTACAACATGACTTGCTGGAAACAAAAGATAAACTATGATGGTTCTGATTTTTATAGTCCTCTCAACAGAGCTTCTCCTAAATTATTAAAGATCTTATAACAAACACAAATGCATTTATAGTTGTAGTTTATGTGCAAGAAATGCAATTGTGCTTCACTCTTTTAGTCAGATTTACTGTACTAGATTTCTCCAGGAAGCCTCAGTGGGGCTCTGCTCCTTAGCCTGAAGTGATGCAAACCCATATCTTCCACTTTCCAGGCAACAAGCCTAACTCCAAGTAAAGATGCAGTCATGCTTTGTGCTGCAGCCATGAATCCTGAACTGCTTTTCTACACCGGTGTTTCTCAAATAGTGTGCCATGGCACACAAGTGTGCCATCAGAAATGAACAGGTGTCTCGCAGAATTTTGCCATGGCAATGAACTACAATAGGTATGAGGATGGGAATGCCTTAACAGGCGAGCCCCAGAAAATTTTTATTAATGTAAGTGTGCCTTGGGTTGGAAAAGATTGGGAAACACTGTTCTACACCATAGTCCACCTTCAAATGTTGGCCCTCAAATCCAGCTTGGCTGGTGACTGAACACCTTAGGCTGATAACAGCTTTGAAGCTTTGAACCCATGGATTACTCGTCCATGCAAACATTTACACCATCACTCCTTGTTGCATTTTAAAAGAAAGCAGATAGTCTTGCTCAGTTCTTTGTAAATAAAAAGAGGAGCATCCCTCTACAGTATTCTAGGCTCTGAAAACCAAGTGAAGAAGGCTTTTCTTTTTTCCAGACACAGCCCTGTGCTTAGAATTTCCTATTGGCTAGATCAGTGTGTCTCAATCTTTTTAGACTCAAGGCATCCCTCCATAATTTTTGTGAATTATGGGAATGGAAGAAAGAGAAGCGGATGAAAGGGAAGAGCCTGCACTCATCTCCTCATTGAAAACTGAACTTATCTTGCCTATCCTGGTGGTCCTTTTCAAAGGTTGCCAAAACACCCCAAAGCGCCATGACACCCTAGCTGAGAGTCACTGGGCTAAATATTAGAATCCCTGCTTGGTGCAAAGTCTTTTTGGATCACCAAACTCTTCTGCACTCAAGGCAGAGAGAGCCAAGTCATCTAACAAAGGCTAAGCAACTACATGCTGTGAAACCTGACACCTAACTTGTAATGCCAAATACTTTTAAAATTTAGTCTATAGATGACTGTTTCACATAGGCAGATGGTAATGACTTTGAAACTAGAATACATTCACATGGATGGCCTAAAAATGAAAACCCAAGATTATACTTTAAGAATCATCATACTCCTATTTATTGTTACATTCCACTGCTTTCAGTTATAAATGCTCATTAATACCTTTAAAACCATCATTATCAATGTCTCCTAGATTGGCTATGGATTCTCCAAACCTTGCCGCATATGAGTCACTTCCAGCTAGTTCTAGCTCCAGTTCTTTCATTTCAGCTTTCTGAAACAAAGCAAAAAACAAATGTATATTAACTAAAGGATTTCCAGATGAACCGCAATCCTGATATATGTTTATACAAATATTGTTCTTAATTGCCTTTACAAACAAAAGTATGTCAGATTGACCTTTCAGTGTATAAATAATCCTTATTAAAGACATCCACTGGGAATTTATATTAGAGGATATGCTACCTTGAAGCAGATACATTATATATGGATCATACATCCTTTAATACAGAATACATGAGTTGCATAAGCAAGGAAGCTTGAAGTTTGGCTTTACTCTGCAGGTAAATGTATAAAAATAGCTTAATCATTGTGTGGTTTCAGAATCACAAATGGTTATTTCAGTGAATAAGTTTTCCATGCACCCTAAGCTTTACAGAATAAACAGTTCAAAGAGGGGAAACTGGAGTCTTCTCTTCTGTTGCAGTCCCTTCTGAAAACATCCAGCTCTTGAATACTGCTTGATTTACTATATTCCAGGAGAAGTTCTAGACTGCAGGCTGGCAGCTAGAAAAATAATTCTACTTATACCTTGAGTACACTGGTTAAAAAAGTCAGTGAAGATAATAAAAAGGGAATCCTACAATATTGTTATAGAATTACAAGCAAATCAATGGTGGACTGCATGCAAAGAGACTGCGACTGGATAATGCATATATCACTAATTATTATAAAATGGTGCTGCTTTTCCCTCTATTTTAACATCAAATATAAGATAAGGGGGGGGTTTTCCCCCAATTATCACAGGGAAAAAGTCCCTTATCTTATATTTGCTTACAAAGAAGCCTCATTAAACACAATTTCTATCATTAAGCTCCTGTCAAAAGCTGCTTGTGCTCAGTAATTGAAACCAACTAAGAATCTAATTAAATGCAGCCAACATTGAGTATAACTATAAAACACATAGCCTATATATTGGGCAATCATGCTGATGGGAGCCTACCATAAGGATAAGTTAGTGCAGCCCATCCCAATAAGATATATCGTAGTGCCCATTGTGCACAGTCCCCCTCAGCACCACTTTTTTTTAAATCATGGTGAGCCACTACACTGAATACATTTCAACTTCCTCTTCACTTCCACAGCTGAGTTGCACCTTTCTTTCCTATTTCCAATGATTCCTGTTTCTTTACCAGCCTTAAAGGTTTGGTGAACATCACCAAACAGAGCTCCAAACAGGTCACCCAGAATCCCACTGTCACCCCCTCTCTCAGCCTGTTGTGTATGAGTGTGGTCCTGCCCTCCATTCCTGGAGCTGGACCAGGTTGCTCTGTGCTTCATCCGCATATAACATTTTGAACAATCCCAGGACTCCTGATAACACTCAGTTCCAGACATAAGTGCTAATTAGCACATACCCTCACAAAGGATCTACCTGGAATAGACATACACACATACTAAGCAGCAGTGGGCTGTGGGAACACCATGGCTTAAAATGCTGTAGACTCTGCTGGGGTCTAACCCAATGAACTGTACAGTAAATCACGAGCCTGTTGGCTTTGGACTAATACCATGCAAAATCTTTACTATACTTAAAAAGGTACAAAAGTGCTGCTTAAAGTGTGTTTATGGAGTACCTGTGCTAAAACTTGTAACTGTTTCCAAAAAAAAGTAAACTGAATCAATTCTGAATGAACTGCCTGTAAGTGAATTACTACAAGTCCATTTATGTCAAGGTCAGGTTTTTCAAATTTGTTCCTCACTTTCATATGCTCAGGGAGAGAAGGGTCTGACAGTAAGGAATGGGGGAAAGGGCTGCAGGGAGAAGAAGCTTAAGGGGCAAGGGGGAGGAAGATGGCAATGGAACTACCTGACCCTCAGATTTATTTTCCCTGCTGTGGCCATGGGAGGGGGGCAAATTCAAGGCAACCCTCCAATAATTAGATTCTATCCCTGGAAAATTTTAACAAATTTATCAAATTTCTATATAGAGAATCTAATTATTGGGTGGAACATCTTATATTTGAGTAAATACAGTATTCTGTTCTGAACAGTAGTTTTAATATAGATATAGCTGCACACACACGCCCAAATCATGTTGCTGTTGTTTTTCTACATATTTATTAGTATTAGCATAACATAGGCTTTTAATTATTAAAAAGTAGTTAAACCACTTGTTTTAATGCCTCTGTGCTGGGCATATTATAATTATTCTATCCAAATCGGTCAAGAGTTCTATGTGATTTAGATTGTTGAATTAATATTACTTCAAATACTAAATTTTAAAATTTAAAAGCAATACTTACAGACCCCGAATTGATGTAAACATAAACCCTGCCTTCTTCCCTGACTTTGCTTTGCATTGGAGCTCCAACCAGTAAGTCTGAAAAGCCGTCTGCATTGAGATCCACCGCACAAACAGCAGCTCCAAAATAAGCACCAAGCTGTGCACATACAGAAGAAGTCCATAACCTTCAGTTCCTTCAGAAAATGCACTGGAAGTTGCAACATGTACCTAATTAATGTGAAAGGTTACCTTTTTACCCTTTAACTCGGACAGGATTTTTAATTGCTTCTCTTCAATGCTAAAAATATATGCCTAAAATAAAAAGAACAGATAGGGAGTTCAATACCTTCACAAACTGCATGAAATAGTAAATATGCTATGGCAGAAAGAAAACACTACATGTCAAGGTCCCTTTAAATAGGGTTTTCCACTACCATATTTTCTACCAGGTCCATTCTTAGTACCACTTTTCCAATTTCATATGGCCTACTCTGCTCTATTCCTTTTCATTCCTTCTCACCAACAATGTTCTCTTGAACTAGAGCAATACTCCTTAGCTTCCTCCAACTGCAATCCTTATTTCTATTGCACTGATCAAATTAAGAGAATCACATACAGTAGAATGCATAATACCCAGTAAAACATAGTTCTTACCTTACCCGTCTGCTCCTGTTGGGGAGCTCCTCCAACTACTTCTATACTAGTTGGTGTTAGAAAATGGCCAGCTCCAACAGCATATCCTGTAAATAAAAATATACTAATTGTATACATACACGGTAACTATAATTTTAGGGAAATAAATATATTCATGATATTATTGCAATGACCATATATAACAGTGTGTACATAAAATTAAAACTATGATCTGTTGCTTTTATTCTGCATCTTCTTTTCATACAACACATGACTCAATAAGATGAGTTCTGAAGGAATGAAGTATGATTTTATGAAAGTTAATGGAAATTTGGCACAGAAATGTTATGTTTCATAAAATGAAGTCAACAAAAGCAAGAAGCATCAATATGAATTCCAGCAACCAGGATTAAAAAGTTTAAGAATAGCCATCTAATGAAAGAGTCCCACTTTTAACTATTGGCTTTTTCGGTAAAAAATAAATTCACTTAAAAATGGAAACACACATCTTTTACTTAGCTACACTCATTCCATTATCCCATCTGAATATCCATCATGTAAGAAAAAACTGACCTAGTTCAATGTTCATATAAGAGAATGCAAAAAATTTAATTCAAACACTATCCAAATTGTTTTTCATTTTAAATGTGCTTGATCGCTATTCATCTATAATACCTGGGCTGCATTTTTTAAAAAGTCTCATCTACAAACAACCTAAATCTCAATTACAATAAGCCAATAAAATAAAAATCGATAAGAAAATACTACTGCCCCAATTTTGGCCCCCTAATCCCCTACACAACTGAATCCATGTGGGTAGTCCTCTCTGTCTGTGCAGGGCCCTCCTAACTAATGGAATCACAGTTGGTATAAAGGTCTACTGAGAGATGCATTGGGAGGACAGAAGCTTATTTTTTAGCCTTGCAGACTTAGCTGTTTGCATGCCTTCCGAAGTTCAGAATGGGACACAAGCTTGGGAGGGTAACGTTGTATTTTATGCTTTAAAGTTGCACCTGTTTATAGAGTGGTGAATTATAGTATTGTTTATATCTAACCTTATTTAATCATTGCTTAAGTTTTGTATAGCCTCATTAATTTTTATTTTGTTTATTAGCTGACTTTGAGTTGTTTTTGTAGAGCTCATAGTGCTCATGATATTATATCTTTTCATTTTTATCACTGTGAGAAGTTCTTCTAACATAATATAGCAATGGTCTTGTTACCAGCTCACATTAACTGAACTTTGCACTAACCAGCTGAATCAAAGGGATGAAATAATTGGTTATGTTGATGAGAGTTGATAAGGGAGGCCAATGGACAATGCTCAAAGTAAGATACTGGGGAACAAGGCCAAATTAAAAGGTATGCTCATGATGAAGGGGTTTAGGTTGTAGCCGTGTTGGTCTAAGGATATAGGCAGACAAGGTTCCTTGGGTGAATTTGATATCTTTTATTAGACCAACCCAAATGGTTGGAGAATAGTTATTAAGCAAGCTTTCGGGTTCAAAAACCCTTCGTCAGGCTCAGGAAGCTGCAGCAGTTGGCGTGTGCTCTTCCTGGATGGAATAAAAAGTAAACAAGCCAGGTAAACAAGCCAGGGGCCACCCATCCTAGCCTTCAGACAAGCACCGAACCTCGCCAACCTCATCACCAGAAGCAAACTTCCTCAACCCCAGAACATGCCAAAAGGATCCAGACCGTGCCATGACAAGAAATGCAAAACCTGCCCCCACATCTCCACCACCCCCACTATTACTACACCCCACAACAGAGCCATCAGCATCCCAGGATCTTACAGCTGCACCTCCAGGAATGTAGTATACCTCATCCAGTGCACCAAATGCCCTGATGGAAGATATGTAGGAGAGACCAGACAACAACTGCGCACCAGAATGAATGCACACCGGAAATCCATCAAAGACAGAAACACCCCATTACCGGTGGGGGCACATTTCTCACAGGAGGGCCACTCTCTCTCCAATCTCTCAGTCCTGATCCTCAAGGGAAATTTACACAGCACTTCCCAGAGACGAGCCTATGAGCTCCATTTCATCAACCTGCTGGATACTAGAGATCAGGGACTAAACATAGACATTGGATTTTTGATACATTACAATCTGCCTGGCAACTGACTCCCCAGCCCAGCCCAGCCCAGCCCCTGGCTTCTTTACTTTTCATTCCATCCAGGAAGAGCACACACCAACTGCTGCAGCTTCCTGAGCCTGACGAAGGGTTTTTGAACCCGAAAGCTTGCTTAAAAACTATTCTCCAACCATTTGGCTCGGTCTAATAAAAGATATCAAATTCACCCAAGGAACCTTGTCTGCTCATGATGAGTCTGTTGAACAAAGGAATATGTTGACAGAATAAAAGATGGACAGTATGTTGACTGCAGAGAGACCAATCCAAAAGGAAAGTCATCAAAGGAGTGAAATTAAAGAAAAGCATATAAGGGGGCAGCAAGAAAGTTAGATGTTGTTGTCGTCATAAATCAGCCTTCGACACCTGTCTGGACCATTCTAGCCTGACAAACCCTTTGCTTTCAGGAACTGAGCAGCTGTCTTTTCTGTTGAGCAAAGTAACATCTGGGATTGGGTAAGATTATTGTACTGAATGTTTTTCTCTCTCTGAATATAGAAACTGCTAAAATAGTATTTGTTGTACTAATAAAATTAGACTTTGATTTTAGGACACTGTGTTGTCTGTGTTCGTATTTCACATTTCATTTAAGGATTAATTGTGCTTTAACAACCCCTTAGTGCTATCTGAGAGCAGTGGTGCAAACAAGCTGACCACTCTAAGATACAGGAAGAAATATGTTAACTCCAACTTTGTTCCTCTTACATCTCCTAATTATAATCAATGGAGCCAAATGAACTAGGATTACTGAGTAGGGTTGTACCTTAAATCTTACACTTGCCAAGATGACCATGTGGAACTCAAGTGGAACCCATATGCCAGCATTTTCTTGGAATATTTTATGCTATAAGGGGTGAAACAAGATAATTTATCATTTAAAGGTCAACATCTAGTTTTTCCTTATTCAACAAAAAAAATCAGACTTAAGTGGATGTACCTTAATTTTTCTGCTCTGACCTTTACTTTTTGTTTTTTTTCCAACTGTAAACATTCATATTTCTAATGAACTTGCTTTAAAAAAATGCCATGGTAAACACAGTTCCCAGGTTTCTGCTGTTATAAAGATTAGCTATCATAAAGCATATGAAAAATATGTAAATTTTGTGCCTTTATTATTCACAATTTGCTTTTATCTACACAAATTCAAAGGATGGGATAAAAGTTTATCTTCTTTCTATACTGGATGCAACTGGCTAGGGACATAAAAGGCAATAAAAAGAGATTCTACACATATGTCAAAAGTAGGAGGAAGACAAGAGAAACCGTAGGTCCTTTATGGAATGTGGAAGACAACCTGGTTACAGATAATGCACAGATGGCCTTTTACTTTTTACTTCAGTTTTCACAAACAGGGGCAGCTACAAGATGACTAGTGCAGTTGGCAACAAAGATAGAGAAGGAGACAAACAGCCTAGAGCAACAGTAGAAAGGTTAGGGATTACTTAGAGAAGCTACATGCTTTCTAGTTCGCAGTGCAAGATGGGCAGGGCTGTCCCTGTGCAGAGCAAATCTGGGCGACTGCCCTGGGCCCTGTGCTTTGGTGGGCCCCATGGTCAATGCCACATAGGCCTCGCCACAGCTGCCACATGCCACCACTGCCAAGCGCCAGCTGCCAGCTCCAACCACTCACCACCCCACCCCCTTCCCCGGGGCCCTGCATAGGCTGATATGCCCCAGGCCCTGCACACCCCTAGAGATGACTCTGAAGATGGATGCACCTGAGGGTACTGTAGGAATTGGCTGAGGTAATTTCAGAGCCACTGGCTAAGAAGAGCATTCTTTGAGAACTCATGGAGTTGGGTGAGGTCCCAGATGACTGAGAAAGGATAAATATAGGGCCCATTGTTAAGGAAGAGAAGAAGGATAATCTTGGTAACTACACTGAGGTTACCCTGACCTCAATAGCTGGAAATATCATGGAGCAGATCCTCAAGAAATCCATTATAAAGCACCTAGATCAGGAACAGCCAGCATCAATTTACCAAGAGAAAGGCATGCCTGACCAATCTGATTTCCTTCTAGGATAAGACGAAAGGCTCTGTGGAAGGGTAGAGAGCAATGGATGCAATATACTTTGACATTAGCAAGGCTTCTGACACTGACTCGCACAACATTCTCATTAATAATTTAGGGAAATATAAACTAGATGAAAGTACTGTAAGGTGGATACATAACTAGTTGGAGCATTGGGCTCAATGAGTAGTCAGCAATGTCTCAATGTCTAATTAGCAAGAGGTATCAAGTGGGGCTCCCCAGGGGTCTGTCCTGGGTTCCAGTCTTGTTTAATATATTCGTTAATGGTTTGGATGATGGAATCATGTGTACACTTAGCAAATTTGTGAACAACAACAAGCTGGGTGGAGTTGCAGATACAACAGAGAATAGGGTTAGGATCCATAATGACCTGAATAGACCGGAGACTCACCTCAATTAATCAGATGAGAATCAACAAGGACAAGTGCAAAGTCCTGCACTTGGGATGGAACAGCCACATGCACAAATACAGGCTGGCTAGGCTCCAATACTGCACAGAAGGACATTGGGGTTACAGTGGAATTTAAGCCATGAACAACTGGTGTCTCCTGCGACTGGGGAAGCACCATGGCAGCAAGCAGTGAGTGGGGACCACCCACAGCCGCCACCTCCGGTGTTGGTGGCAGCAAGCAGGGACCACCTCTAGCCACGCACCCATGGTGTTGGTGGCGGTGAGGCGGGGACCTCCCACAGCCACCAACTGGGGGCAGCGTCAGTGTGAAGCGGGGGGGAAGGGGGTGAGCAGGTGCGAACGGCAATGGCGGCGGCTTCAGTGGCGACCAATCTCATGCGTCACCTATGCTATACACTGAATATTAGCCAACAGTGTGATCTTGTTGCAAAAAAAGGGCCAACAGCTTACTTGGTTGTATTAACAGAAAGATCACTTGCAAATCAAGGGAAATGATTCTTCTGTTCTATTCAAGCACTGGTAAGTTCTCACCAGTACTGTGTCCAGTTTGGGGCCCCATGCTTCAGGAGGGATGTGACAGTTTGGAAAGAATCCAGCACAGAGCAACATAAACTATTAGGAGCCTGGAGAGCAAGACTTATGAGGAAAGCCTGAAAAACTAGCATTATTTAGTCTGGAAAAAGAGAAGGATTAGGGTGGGATTTGATAACAGTCTTCAAATACCTGAAAGGGGACTGGGCAGACAAGGTTCCTTGGGTGAATTTGATATCTTTTATTAGACCAACCCAAATAGTTGAAGAATATTTATTAAGCAAGCTTTCGGGTTCAAAAACCCTTCATCAGGCTAATGAAGTTTCAGCAGTTGGTGTGTGCTCTTCCTGGATGGAAAGGGGACTGGAAATTTCCAAGGATAGAGATTCCATAATTTCTCTAGGTAGCCTGTTCCAATTTTTGACCACCCTCAAAGTCAGAAAATTCCTTCTAATCCCCAACCTAAATTTCTTCTCCTGCAGTTTGAGGACACTGCTCCTAGTCCAGTCCCCTATGGACACAAAGAAAAGCCCATCTCCATCCTCTATGCCTCAGAAAATATTGGGTAGACACTACTCTGGGATGGTTTAGTTGAGTCAATCCTGCCTTGAGGAGGGGCTGGACTAGATGTCCTCATGAGGTCCCTTCCAGCCCTGCTCTCTGTGATCCAACATGCATGATTTCCACTCAGAGATCCATTGCTGCCTTCCAAAGTTTGTCTGCCTCCAGCATCTCTAAAAGTTCATGTTTTGCATTCTCCTGCAGATAACAGTGCATCCAAACGCAGAAACTGTGCTGCACTCATGTCTTGCAAATGGCTAGAATGGACAGATGCAAGGAAGCTAGAGAAGCAGAATTGGTCCAGCTGTCTAGGCATGCTTTCACAAAGAGTCCCAAAAGGACAAGCAAGTTCTCTTACAGCCCATCATAGGCCAGTTCCTAAAGTAGCTCAAGTCAGTGACGTGCTAAGAAGCCTTGAACAACCCCTACCCCCTTGGCAATCCTAGCATCAAACTCGCATAGTAGGGCTATGCACTGTGAATGCTTGCAGGTGGACTTATACTCATGCGCTGAGATCCAGGCATGCTCTTCATTAGAAACCAACTGTAAGTCTCAATCTACTTCCCAGGATCATACCTAGTACTGCTCCTTAGTCTAGCTTCCATAACTGATCCTTTTTTTATGAAACAACCTTGCATACTGTACAAAGTTTGCTTTTTCTAGTTATGGTTGACACCTATAATCATTTTGCAAAGCTTTACTGCCTATAAACATATGTGCACTGGCAACATATCTGTCCATTTTAATGCAAAGATAGAATATAAACGATTTCAAGCAATGATTAGAAACAGTTGATAAATAAAATGTTTAAAGAACTTCCAATGAGGAGTCTAGAGAAATATTAGAACAAAAACAATATTTCAAGACAGCTACCTTCAGGCTCATAGAATCACTAGACATGTCTGCAATATTGCCATTTCCAGGTTTGACAAAGAAAGATGCTGCTTCAGAATGCATTTCAAACCTAATCATACAGAGCAGGGAATCAACGAAACAGATTTATAAAAATATATTAAATACCTAAATAACTTCCAAATTTCACTTGATTATTTGAATCTGTGTAAGCTCGAAATGTATTCGCAGTTGAATTGTAAACAAAGATAGAACCAGTCCAGTAATATGATCCTGGAGCTCCCATTATAATTAAATCCTGTAAGAAAATAAAAGTATAAATGTATCTATTATTTTGAAGATAAGCATGATGTGTCAAATCCATTCCTGGTATAACTTCTCTGAAGTAAATGAAATTATATTAGAATTGTATTTGGCTTAATATCAGTACATTAGATGCAGATCATATGTAATATTTTACATTTTTTAAATATTCTTATTCTTTTACTGCTAAGCAACTTAAGTCATGAAAACTTCAAGACAGCAAACAGTATTTTCCACTTTTGGAAGAATATTTTGAAAATTACATTCCTACAGTATAATATAAAATGTATAAATTAGTTTCTCTCTATAGTCTAAAATGTAAGCCTTATGAGTGTTAATATTCTCAATAATAAAAATGTGCTCTATTATAATTTTCATATACTTTACAAAACAGCAATTTTGAATATAAAGCATAGTGCCATGATACACTATGTTCTTGGCATACTGAAAATTGACACAGCTCGTATTTTTATAAGCATCATTCAAAAGGAATGACCAATGATGTGATAAACAAATCTAATTAGTTCTTCAGGAAAAAAAATTAAGAGTCTATAATCATTTTACAAATTATTTTACATTTTTACAAATGTAATTTGAGTTAAATTATTATTTAATTCTTAATAGGAAACAAATATATTTAATACACACCTCAGTGTAAAAACTAGACATCCCAGCCTGACATGACCCATGGTTCTCTCCAAACTTTCGCACATGATCTGAATATAAAAGCAAAAATTACTTAAGAACTTCAGTACATTTGAGAAATTCTTAATTCCAGAATTTATTTGCAGGTCTCTAACTTGGAAGTCAAGAACAAAATTCAACCAGTTTAAAGGTTTTTAAGAACAGAACACTGGTTTTCAGAATTGGAATAAACTGCATGGTCTTCAGCTTTATAATATTAGTGCACTATAGGAGAAAAATGAACTCTAGATAAAATGCAGTGCTTATCATCAGAACTAACTTTTCAAGCTAACTATCTCTTTAATTATAAATTATTCCACAAAATAGCACATCAGAGTGAAAAGTCACTACAGATGTTCCCTGAATAGCAAATGCTAGTAGATTTAACACCCTTCTTCCCACCCCATTTATAACTTCAGGCATAATCAGATGGGAATAACATTTTTCATGGGAGTTTCCCTGATGCCCAGGTTGTGTATTATAGTTAGGAACTATACACATAGAGGCTAGGGACAGACATTCAAAATGCCTGAGCCTGAATGGAGTCAAACTTTGTAGGTTAGTCTAACCTGGCTAGGCTATATCACTTTGTAATTGTACAGACACCCCAGACATGCAGACACATGCCTGCAGTGGCTCAGGCTAGAAGCTGGGGGGGCGCTGAAGCAGCCCTCCCTTCCCTACCACTGCACTGAGCTAAGGCAGGGCATGCCCAGGCCCCAGCAAGATGCTCTGATTAGTCCAGCAGGGAATTGATAACAGTGATATTTATCATCCCTAACTCAGTGTTTATCACCCCATTAAAAAAACAACAGAGGGACATTACCAGCTACCTGTTGATTCTACCTGTTGACTCAGCACAGACCATAGCCAGCATGTGGTCTTCTAGCTAATACCAGGGACCTCTCATCAAGGCAGAGGGGAATTCCTGCTTAGTAGGTAGTGGCGTGGAGGAGGAGGGAAACAACTCAGTCTGTGCCAGAGCTGCAGCCAGGGAGCAGGGGGGAAGGGCCAGCCCTGCTGTGGAACAGAGCCTTGCCGAGCCCAAAGAGCATGCCGGGATCCTGGGGAGTCTGGTTTATCTTAAACCAACAAGGGGTCTGGGACAGACATTGCATAAATTGGTTTGACCCAAAACAGTTAAGTCTGATGCTACATACCACCAAGTGTATTTCAAACTGATTTCAGCCATTTTCAAATTGGTTTATGTGCACTGAACATCTGTTCTGTTACAGGCTTAAACCGGTTTCTGATCACTTAAACCGGTTTATGTGTAATGTCTGTCCCTAGCCAGAGAGTTTACAGATATACTAACAGCATTATGGCTTGTGTCTCTAGTTAGATGTGGTACCTTTTTCTGTTTCTTTCTGATGCTTCATTAAGTATTTAAAAGAGCTGGATTAGAGATACCTGTGTATTATTCTTACTTTTGATTTCCTTCATTTTTTCTTCTTTCTCATGTTTTCAATCTCTCCCCTCAATATCTGTTTGGCCACCTTATACAAGCAACTCTTTCAGCTCCAATGCTCCCATGCTCTTTCAGCTCCAATTTGCTATTTTTCTTTATTAGCACTATACTTTTAATCTTTCTCTCTCATTTACCCAACAACTCTGCCCCACCAACAGGATGGAATCATGATACAGCCAGTGACTTTAACAATCTTTGGAACCAAAGGTGGCATATTAGGAGTTTATTCATCAGTGCCTGTGGAGAAAAACAGGTTATCTGCCCTCTCCTGCCTCAGTTAGGAGATACCATTACTAGATGCATTTACTGTTCCTTGAGAAACGTGACATAATACCCAGGGATTCTTCTTATGCACTGTGTACCCTATGCATTATAAGGACAAAGACATCTCTCTCTCTGTCTTGATTCCCTTTCTTGCCTCACTTTCCTCCTCTGAAACCTGACAAGGAAGAATGGAAGGAGGTCTCTTCTTGCATAGTATAAGTGGAATATGAGACAAAGCCTGGTAGGATTCAGACTCAGAAGATGTCCTGGAAGCCTCAGATAGCTTTGGATTGTTATTGAGTGGCCTGTTCAGGATGCCCTTTCTAATCTACTCTGAGACACTATGTTGAATATGTTGATGAAGCAAACTGATTAACTGAATCTTGCACTGCACTATTTATAAAGGATGTATGCCCTGCTAGAGACAATACCCTAAGCAAATGCCCACATTCACTATCTGGACCGTCTTTAATTGTGGAATCAACTTTCCTTCAAATCAGTCAGCATTTCACCAAAAAACACAAACCACAGGCCAGATTTCCATCTTCTGCCTGATAGCAGAAAGCCTGTCCAGAGCAGGTAGAAGGTAAAGAATAGAGTAACTTATGCTGAGCTTTTCAATTTTCAAAATAGCATTTAGGTTTACATCTCATCAAATAAAGCAGCATAATCAAACACTATAAACAACCAAACTCTCTCCTTACCTATATAGCAAGGACATATTCTTTTACTCAACTGTACTCGAAAATCAGAAGGAACAGCAAAACATAAACCGCAAGGAAGTTTGTGTTCATTTTTTTTTACGTAAAATACATTTTTCCACCTATGTCCACAGGCCTATGTAAAAATAAAAACAAACAAAAACGATGTGAAAAAGCATTAAAATGGTGAAGGGAGCATGATAAAAGGTATTCAATAATAAAGACAATACATACGACAATGGATCCATTTTCTCCTGACTGCCTAGACATGCTAACACCCAGCCATTGATTATCCCTTTCTTCTAAACATGTCTTTCCACAAAATTCTCCAGCAGGATTGCCTGGAATAGGAAAAGAATAATGAATTAATAGAAACAGAATACATAAAATAAACTGAAGTTCTACACAGTTTATTATGCAGTGTGCTTATCAGTAGGCCTTATACCCATATATATTTTCATAGTTTCATAGTTGGTAGGGTCAGAAGGGACCTGAGCAGATCATCAAGTCCAACCCCCTGCCATGGCAGGAAAGAGCACTGGGGTCAACCGACCCTGGCAAGGTGTTTATCTAGCCTCCTCTTAAAGACCCCCAGGTTAGGAGCCAGCACCACTTCTCTAGGAAGTTGGTTCCAGATTCTAGCCGCCCCGACAGTAAAGTAGTGCCTCCTGATATCTAGCCATTTATATAGGACATCCCATGGAAAGATATTAGTATAGTTCACAGTTTTTTGTAAATGAAAGTATGGTGCCATACAGGAAATATATACAGCTACCAGGCCCAAATAGAGTCCACTAGATACAAAGAGACTGTATTACGGTACTTCCATCGCTGTTGAAACTGAGGAAGATAGAAAGGTGAGCACAGATGCACTGTAACATAAGCAGTATATCATTTTTAAAAAGCTGCAGCATTGTATAGCCCAACCCCCTAGCATGATTTCATAGAAAGTACTAAAAACGTGCCATTATTTTTTTTACATTAATTTAATCACAAACACCATGATATCTTATTATAAAAATCATGGTTTTTAGCCAAGGAAATTTAAAGCCCATTATTTGGTACTCAATTCATCCAAGATAGGAAGATTTTTCACACTTAGTTGTGAGGCCAAACCTCAGGTCTGAATCACCCATCACACCAAATTGAACTTCCAGTTCCAAGTCGAGCCATACAATGGAATCTGCAGGTGTTCATGTGAAATACCTACTCATTCTCTAAAGCCACTGGATCTAAACTCTAATCTGGAGTGAAAATCTTTTCAACTTACCCCTTTTCCTAGTCACATCTCTGTCCAACAGAGCTTAGGAATCAGTCATATTCCAAGTCCCTATTCTTATAAAATCAGATTCCTCTAATTGCACTATTCGTTTTGGATGTGAAACTAATACTGGTATAATACTTTTGTACTTGGCCCTCCTTACAGAAATAGAAGGTATACAATTTTGAAGGTGGTTTGTAGTTTTACTTCTATTTAAATGCATTCTCTTATATTTTATAATGTGGGTAGCCAGTGAAGTTCTGTAAAAATAATAAATAGTGATCTCGTGCGTCTGGCAAATTCTTGTTTCTTCCCCACAAATTGGAGTCCACATGTGAAAAAAAAAAACTTTAAGCAGGCATTAAAATATTCTATTCTGTTTGAAAGGCTTATATTACATATGATATTTTTTTCTTTTTTCATTCTGAAGGTGCCCACTGTATGTTTACTAAGACACTGAAAAAAGTTTCAACCCAACATCTTCAAAATATCATTTTGCTGTTTCATTTACCAGAACTAACAGATATAGAATACTGAAAGAAAAATAGGTAATACAGTTTGGTGGGCTTAACTCTTATCAAATTCAACAAATTCCTTTACTGATGAAGCAACCCAGAAAGTCTGTGGTAAATAATGTTAATTAGCCAGCAGAGGGCATCAGAATAGATCAATGACTACCACAACAAATTTCTACATTAAACAGAAGCAAAAATAAGTTCCCAGGAGAGCTGAAATATATTTATAATCCATTGGTTTACAGGTTATTAAGGTCTAATAAATCTAGTTATCTGTAAAATCAATCAATCTAAAAATCATCACCCTACATTGACTGGGTATATTGACTTCTTTTGTTACCATATTTAGTCTCTTTCAATAGTAACGCAAAGGATTTGTCAGCATTATCACCTATTAAAAGGATTTTGGACATATGATACTGGAAATAGTTTGAGAAAACATTAAATTGATAGTAGAATTGTTCTGGCCTTTGGATTTTTTTTTTCCTGGCAGAAAATAATCAAGAAGGCCCTCTGTGAGAGAAAAACTTTCTGAAATTATTGTTCTCTCACTTCCTTACTTTTTATTATAGGGGTGATATCTTTTAACCAGACCACTGAGTCTTCCTGATTTTATCAAAACATGGAGTCACCCAAATAAAAGAAATAATACAGCTGGAGGTTATATTGTGTTTTGGGGATTTTCCATGAAGCATGAGAATGAAAATTTATGTGTACCATTTCTACCTACCTCATGTCTGTTCTACCTGCTTTTCTACTTAGGCCCTAAAGCAGGGGTGGGCAATTCTTTTGGCTGGAGGGCCGTTTAACGTGTTTTGGTGAGGCATTGTGGGTTGCAAGGGTAGTTCCACTCCTTGATAGGTGCCCTGCCCCCTGGTCACCATCTTGTGGCTAGAAGTCCCACCCAGTAAACCCTGACCTTTGCCACTGGAAGTCTCTCCCCTTGCCCAGAAAGTATGCCTTTTGTGAGGGGTGGGGTTTGCTTGTATATTGTGTGTGGAGGGGTTGGGGGGTGTGGTTGGGGGAGTATGTGATTTGGGGGTGCTTGGGTATGGTGCAGGTAGGGTATGTCAAGGTGTAGAAGGGGTGTGTGGGGGGTGTAAGTGTGGGTGTGACTGAGGTGTGGGGTGTGTGGGACTGTTGGGTGTGTGTGTAGTGGGGGTGAAGTTTGTATAGGTGTGGGGGGTGTATGTGTGAATGTGTGTGGGGGTGTCAGATGTGTTGTTGGGGTGTGTGGGACTGTTGGATGTGTTTTTGGCATGGTGGGGGGGTAGGGTGCATGATGGGGGGGGTGGGTATATGTGTGGATGTGCCCCTTGGGTGGTCCTGGGGCCAGTTTTGTTGAATGTCTTCATCAACAACCTGGAAGATGGCACAGAGTGCACCCTCAGCAAGTCTGCAGATGACACCAAGCTGAGGGGAGTAGTGGATATGCTGGAGGGGAGAGCTAGGATTCAGAGTGATGTAGACAAATTGGAGGACTGGGCCAAAAAGAATCTCATGAGGTTCAACAAGGACAAGTGCAAAGTCCTGCACCTAGGCTGGAGCAATCCCACATACTAGTACAGGCTGGGGGCTGACTGGCTGGGCAGCAACTCTGCAGAAAAGGACCTGGGGGTTACAGTGGACAAGAAGCTGAATATGAGCCAGCAGTGTGCCCTTGTTGCTAAGAAGGCTAATGGCATACTGGGCTGCATTGGTAGGAGTGTTGCCAGCAGATCAAGGGAAGTGATTATTCCCCTCTATTCTGCACTGGTGAGGCCACATCTGGAGTATTGTGTTCAGTTTTGGGCCCCCCACTACAGACAGGATGTGTTCAAATTGGAGAGAGCCCAGCAAAGGGCAACAAAAATGGTGAGGGGGCTGGGACATATGACTTTTGAGGACAGGCTGAGGGAACTGGGCTTATTTAGCCTGGAGAAGAGAAGACTGAGGCAGGATTTAACAGCAGCCTTCAACTACCTGAAGCAGGGCTCAAAAGAGGATGGAGCCAGACTGGTCTCAGTGGTGGTAGATGACAGAACAAGGAGCAATGGTCTCAAGTTGCAGCAAGGGAAGTGTAAGTTGGTATTAGGAAGAATTTTTCTCACTAGGAGGGTAGTAAAGCACTGGAACAGGTTACCCAGAGGTGGTGGAAGCTCCATCCTTTGAGGTTTTCAAGATCTGGCCAGATAAAGCCCTGGCCGGAATGATCTAGTTGGGGATGGTCCTACTTTGAGCAGGTGATTGGACTAGAATCAGGGGTTCCCAACCTTTTTAGATTGTGGACCAACAAACCGCAGAATGGAAGTGACTGCGGGCTGGTCTGTGGACCAGAAGTTACTGTGGAATGGCAAACTGAGGACCAGCAAACTGCAGTCTGAAAGTGACCGGCATGCTGCGGAGCAGCAGCCAACCCTTTTAAAAACTTTATAAAAAAGGGCTGGCTGCCACTCCACAGTATGCTGGTGACTTCCAGACTTCTGGTCCAGCAGCCAACCTTCCTGCAGACAGGCAGCCAACCCTTTGCAGCCCTGTACCACACATTGGCCTGGGGGCTGGGAACCTCTGAACTAGATGAACTCCTGAGGTCCCTGCCAACCCTAATTTTCTAGGTTTTTCTATGATTCTATGTGTATGGGGGGGGTGTCAGGTGTGGGTCTTGTTTGGCATGCAGTGTGTGCATGGTTGAGGTGTTGGGTGCAGGGCGGGGTGAGTATGGTGGGGGTGGAAGTATGGATGTGGGGGGGTGTAGGTGGTTTCTGTGGGTATGGTGGGGTGAGTAGTTTGGGTGTGGAGTGTGTGATATAGTGTTGTGTGTGTTTGTGGATATGGTGGGGGGTAGGTTGTGGGTGGGTTGGGTGTGTACATGTGGGGGGCTTCCTGCCCCATCTGGTTTCCCCTCTGTACACTCTTTGTGATGTGGCTGAGCCCAGCCCCTTCACAGGTGGAGGGAGGTGGAGGGACATCAGCATTGGCTACCTGGCTTGCTGTATGCTGCAATGGGCGGGAAAGCAGCTGTCATTGGCGAGCAGCAAGAAAAGCCCCTAGGAGAGGGGAGGGAGGGACAGGGAACAGAGCTTGGCACCACCAGCTCTCTTGGTCTCCGTCCCGCACCTGCCTCGTGGGACTACAGCCAAGCCTACACTGGTTCTTGCTGCTGCTACTGCTTCCATCCCACATGCCTGCCTGGCGGGGCTGCACCAAGCCCATGCTGGATCCTGCTGCTGCTCACATACCACCCGTCTGTCCTGTGCCTGCCCAGTGAGGCTGCACTGGCTCCAACTGCTGCTTTCACCCCATCTGCCTGTCCCATGCCTGCCCAGTGGGGCTTTGTAAGCAGCCATGTTCCTTCACGCCCCCCTCTATCCACACGCTCTCTTGCCCAGCCATTCATGAGCAGAACCACAGCAAGCTGCATGCAGAGCCCACCCCTCTCCCCTCAATGCTGTAGCTTCTTCTTCTGAACTGCTGCCCAGAGCACTGCAGCAGAATAGGAGGAGTCCCTAGAGGTTGGAGAAGCCCAGCAGTTCCCTGGGCAGCAGCAACAGCAGCCCTGCCCAGAAGCTGTGCCTGCTGGCTGGGG